GTGGTGCCAAAGGAGAGTCTGGTGGGACAGGAGACGACACGAGCAGGGAGCAGACTCAGGACCAGACCTGGACGCTGCAGCAGACACCTGGCTCGACCCAGCTACCTGACCAGACGCAGCAACCGGAGGAGACTCAGTAGTCAGTGTGTACAGGCTCGACCCCGGCTGACGGGTAAACGTGGCCAAGTGTCGGCCCGTCCGAGCACACGTACAGTGGGTCACCCGCTGACTCGCAGGAGTGAACTGGTCAACCCCCCGATCCTGTAGATCAGCACCACTCACCAAGTTCGTAGAGAACGAGGGGAGGTAGAGACCTGACAGGGTGCCAGAGGGGGCTGCCGGACACGGTAAGACAGTGGAGAAGCTAGCAAGGACAGGACCCCCAGAGGGGTCCGCCAGGGAGACCGCAACCGGCCGACTAAGCGGCGTAAGCGTGGTGCGGTCTCGAAAGAAGGAGCGGGAAGCACCCGAGTCAAGGGTGAAGGTGTGTAAGGCCTGAGCCGACGTGGTACCTGAGAGAGCAGACTCACCAGCACCTGGGGCAGCAGACGCACTAGCACCTAGAGCAGCAGCCTCACCAGCACCTAGAGCAGCAGCCTCAATGTCCGGGTCAGGCGGAACACACAGGTAACAGTCACCCTCATCACTAGTAGACACAGCATACATGGCAGCAAGAATAGCATCATAGTCAAGATCAAAGATAGCAACCCCCGCCCTAGACAGCTCTCCCCAGCGAGGGATCTCAGTGGCGTCAGGGAACTGGTGACGCCAAGCGTCAGTCAGGCGGCCGAAGCAGCGCTGGGTGGAGTGCGAGCCTCCGCACTGCTCACCAGCGCGGTCGCCGGTACGGAGGACGTAGGTACAGGGACCAGTACCCCCACCTCGCTGACGCCCAGCGTACCACTCACGAAGCTGCTGGGGGGACGGGGTCTCACGAGTGCGCTGCTGCTGCTGGCGCTGACCACCACCTAAGCCGCCCCGCTGCGCAGAGCCACCCCGACTAGCTCCACCTCCTCCGCCGCCACCTCCGCCACCGCCGCCACCGCCTCCTCCTCCGCTCCCACCGCCACCGCCGCCGCCGCCTCCGCCACCACCGCCGCCACCGAAGCCCCCACCCCCGCCACCACTCCCACCACCACCCCCACTCCCTCCGCCTCCTCCACCTCCACCTCCACCGCCCCCGCCAGCCCCTCCAGCGCCCTTGCCCCCCTTGCCCTTGCCGGTGCGGCGTCGCCCGCTAGGGGCAGACGCAGCGCCGACCGACTCGGTGCCAACAAAGTCGACGGCAGCAGCAGAGGCAACAGAGGGCAAAAGGGGGGAGGGGGAGCACCCCTCAAAGACAGGGGCACGCGGGTCACCTCTAGAGGCTCCTACGGCGACTATACTCTTCTCAGCTGCCAGGAGGCGCTCCTCGAGGAGGTCAACGGTGAGTGTGGTGGGGCAAACAGAGAGGAAGTGGTCCCTGACCGAGCGAAGGGAGTCAGGGAGCCGGGTGACTATGTAGTAGAGGGTGATATACATGGGGGGGGGGTTCTTGGCGCAGAACTCAGCAGGAAGCGCAGCGCGGTAGCGGGTGTCACTAGTGCGGAGGTGCGTAACGAGGTCAGCGACAGTGGGAAAGGCGGCGAGGTCAGGAAACAGGTACGGCAGTATGAGGCGGCTAAGTGCAGCAGTGGCAGGGGAAGAGTAGCGTGCAACTACAGCGTCGTACAAGGTCTTAGCACTCTTGTACTGACTAAAGTGCGCACGCTCAGCGGTCGGTAAGTGGCGACGCACAGCAAGACGGGCAGCAGCATCGCGCGTGGCCCACTGTGAGCGAACAGTGCTGTCAGCATCAGCAGGCGGGGCAGGAGAGGCACCAGAGGTGAGATCGAACAGGGAGAGTCCGTCTGCCCTATCGCACTGTAGGAAAAGCTGCAGGTCATCGACCCAGACCTCGAAGTCAACAGCACGACCCTCAGCATCAAAGGTAAGGACACTAGGGGTAGCCATGACAGCAGTGGTCTAGCAGGGAGGGCTCTCACCAGTCCGGGTGGGTAGGGCCGGGGCGCGCCGGGAGGAACAGGGCTGCAACAGCGGTGGCAGCGGCTCGGCAGTGGCAGTGGCGGCTCGACGGCGGCCTCGGCGGCTCGGCGGCTCGGCTGCAGGCGGCTCGGCTGCTCGGCGGCTCGGCTGCTGGGCGGCTCGGCGGTTCGGCGGCTCGGCGGCTCGGCGGCTCGGCGGCTCGGCTGCTCGGCTGTTCGGCTGCTTGGCGGCTCGGCGACTCGGCAGTGAAGGGGCCAGGGAGGGGCCGAAAGGGGGGGGGCGGCCACGGGGCCGCAAGGGGCGGCGACGGGGCCGCAAGGGGCGGCGACGGGGCCGCTAAGGGCGGTGACGAGGCCGCTAGAGGGTGGCGACGGGGCCGGGAAGGGCGGCGACAGGGGCCGCTAGGGGCGGCGACGGGGCCGCGAAGGGCGGCGACGGGGCCGCGAGGGGCGGCGACGGGGCCGCGAAAGGGCCGCGAGGGGCCTGGAAGGGCGGCGACGGGGCCGCTAGGGGCGGCGACGGGGCCGCGAAGGGGCCGCGAGGGGCCTGGAAGGGCGGCGACGGGGCCGCTAGGGGCGGCGACGGGGCCGCGAAGGGGCCGCAAGGGGCCTGGAAGGGCGGCGACGGGGCCGCTAGGGGCGGCGACGGGGCCGCGAAGGGGCCGCAAGGGGCCTGGAAGGGCGGCAACGGGGCCGCTAGGGGCGGCGACGGGGCCGCGAAGGGGCCTCGAGGGGCCTAGAAGGGCGGCGACGGGGCCGCTAGGGGTGGCGACGGGGCCGCTAAGGGTGGCGCGAGGGGCCGTGAGAGGGGCCTCTAGGAGGGCTCGACAAGAGGGCGGCCCACGGGACGCGCCTCGGGTAGGGGCGACTCGCGCTTCGGTCAGAAAAAAAAAGTCGATTTTCAGTGGTGGGCCCTAGGAAGTTCCCACTAGGGAACCTGCTCTATACCATGTGAAAGAACAAGGAATGAATGAACTAGCAAGCAGGTGGGTACAAGTAGGAAAACCTAAAAGTGTTGTACCCCATATTGTCTACCCCACTACAGCCTACACAGACTATAGCATATGAGTTTGACAAAAACATGGTCGGGGGGTGGGGAATGGTATAAGTTAAAAGGAAATGGGAATACATATGGTATTCACTGTCTTTGTACAGATAGAAAAATGCGTCGGGCGGTAAGGTCAGTATGCACGCTTGTGTGTAGGTACAAGGCGGAGCTGGAACTCTGAAATCTCCTAAGTCTTGTGGATCGGAAAAGTTATAACCTAGTGTTGTTGGAATAGAAGGCCTTATCTAGTGGACTGGCAAGAATATGGCACTATCTGCATTTCTACAAACATGCGTAATGGGCTGGTCAGTTTGGTCGGTATGCGCGCCTGTAGACCATGTATGACTGGAATATCTATATTTGCCAAATTAAATAGATCCAACAGGTTAAAACATGGTAGGGGGTGGGAAATGGTACAATTTAAAGGTAATAGGAATACATATGGTATTCATTGTATTTCTACAAAGAAAATAATGTGCCGGTCGGTTTCGTCAGTATGCACGCTTGTGCACAGGCGCCTTCCAGGCTGCACGCACACCCACCCCACCCAATTATTATATATCATGCAGACACATGCAGCAGAGCACAGCGCAACACACAGCACATTTAAGCACACCTAAGCATAGCTACACATGCAGCACAGAACAGCAAGGAGAGCAGCAGTAGCCAGAGGCCCATCTTCAGCTCTGCCTTTCCTTGTCTTGGCCTTGTAGGAAGGAACGCTCATAATGGCCCACCACCATACAGCGCCCTCATTCACGTAAGGGACATGGAGGGTGACGGGGCGAGGGGACATAAGCAATGCTTATTGTAAAACTTGTTATGTGCCATTGCAACTCATTCAGGTGGTTCCGTTCAGAGAAAGGCAGACAGCCAGTGTGAGAGGTGCCAGTGCCTAAACTGTCGGTTACAGCATCGCACAATGCTCACGCCCAGCCAAGCAGCTTCTTTGGCAAAGAATCTTTGTCCTGCCAGCCGTGCCACACCTGCATCTGAAGCTGCTATTCACCTTACACAAGCCGGTCAGACAGTCAACCAACCAGCTAATCAGCCAAGCGGCAAAACACTTGGCCACCAACCAGCCGTCCAGCCTACCAGCTAACCAGCCAACCAGTAGTACAAAAGTATCCTGGTCAAGTTTTGCCATGACATGCCTGTGTACACTCTAGACATTAGCAGCTGCCTATGCACACTCCATGAGCAACACTTGTCCCACCACCTGGCACCAGTTTCCAAGGCGTGCTTGGTAAGCAGGTGCACAACCATTAGCTACATCAATTAGGAAGGAAGACAATACAAGGAATGTTGCAGTTGTTTACATAATATTACAGGTCATACAGATTTCACTTTGCGTTCAAATCAACGCCGTTATAGCGAATTTGAACCCACCATACCCGGCCAAGGCAAATATGTGACAAGGGTAGCGCTGAATGACAGCCACAATGACAGCCTCGAGCTCGCCGCCATGGCTGCCTACCATTTGCCTGGAACTCACATTGCGTGAAGCATGTTCATCAGTTGGCTTTAATTTTACCAGCTTTGGTTTCGCTACACCTTTACGAAGAAGACTATACTATTTACGTGTTCATCAGGCGAACATTGAACGGTCTTCTCAAGAGTGTCTTTCGCTGGTTCAAGTTTCTAAGCCCGATGCTAACGCGTGGCTCTCTAGGTTCTGGTTCATTGTCAAGGAACAACCTAAGCTATCTACCATTGGCTACACAGATGCTGTGCAACGGGATGATCCCGAAGTGTTATCTTCAACATCGCAACACCTCTGCCAGGAACAATGGACTACCACAGGAGGTTATCAGTTATTTAACAACGCTGTGCTCAGACGACCGGCTCATCAGTTCAAACAGTTTCCTCAGCTCTCATTACAAGAGCTCTTGCACAAGCCTCTTCCGGGTCATTGTCATCATCGCACGATGCCTCCGAAATCGACGCGCGCTAAGCCTGTGGCTGATGCTCCGGCTGGCGGTGGTGACCCTGCGAGCAAAACGTCACCAGGCAAGGGCAAAGAAGTCATTGGTAACCTTCCGTCTGAAGCGGAAGTGACGGCTGGCATTTCTGGTCTTACCATTGAAGAAAAGCTGAAGGCGCTGGCGACAGTTTCTTCGGATGACTCTTTCATTGAAGATGACTCCGACGAGGAGCTCAAGATTGACACGGCTAAGAGCTCTTACCCACATTTGCGCTTCACGGCGATTTTGCTTTTCCCGGTCATCCCTTCTCGTGAGGTTGCTTCGGTGATCCTGACCGTGAGGATGCTGATGAAGTCTGGGCTAACCTGCTTACGGATGACGTTCTTGATACGGTGAAGTTTCAGGAGCTGCTCCCCGCTTTTGTTGCCAAGACACGCTACAGCCGACTCCAGGTTTCTTTCCTGCATGAGTCAGACGCGGTTAAGATCAAGCAGACGGCAGTGGAACACAAGCGTTCAAATGACACTACACTTCATTGTTTCTGGCTGCATCAGGAAGACGTGGCCTACCTTCGCAAGAAGGCCTCGAGCCCGCAGCTGCTGGAAGTTTATTTCAAGAATGTCCCTGCTGACATCCCGCCGGAGCTGGTTAAGGAAGTCATGGTGCTGCACCCGCTCAGGATTTGGAAGCAGTCTGCGTTCGCCGAGGGTCACTGCTTCCATCGCGTCCTTCACCCAGTCACTGGTGCTGACACTGACAAGATTAAGGGGCTGGTGGTTCAGCACGCCGGCGACAGGCACCGCTGGCGCCATGAGTTTCGCCATCAGCTGCTGGGTGGAACGACCCTGTTGGCCCATTACCCGCTACTTACCTGTCCGCTCTGTGGTGGTCATCATTATGACAAGTTTCATAATGCTTACATCACGGAGCGTCAGAGTAACATAAGGAAGTGGAGTTTAACAGTGGGTCGGGTCCATAGGATTAACGGTAACTACTGCTTTCGTTTTTCGGGTTGTCATTTTATCTCTCTTACCTTGCAAGTTGCTGATGCGCCGCATGTCCCTCGCAGCTGCCTCTCTCCGCGCTTCCCCGCTCACCACCCCGCTGCTGCTGGATGCGGCTTTTGTGCTGATCTCCACGGGGAGCAACCGGGAGGAATGGCTGTGTACCCTCGAGTGCTGCGGGAAGGCTCATGGCAAGTCCTTCATGGCAGCGGCAGATCACGTCACATCGGCGAGCCATCTCCTGGGCCTGGAGAAGTTGGGTGCAGCCATCCGCAGCTCCCTGGAGAGGCTCGGTCGGCACGTTATCCGCAAGGAGTACCAGATCTGAGAACTTTACCTGTTTGCCGGAAGCAGTGTTGTGTAGAGATGGCGGTTTCTGTCGTTTGTGTAGTTGTATCCGGTATCACCTGCCCGTGGATGCGAAGGGGCCTTTCAGCAGTGGTTGCATGAGTACGAAAAGCCTTCTTTCATTTGCAGGCCTGAATGTCAACGGCCTGGGGGATGGGAACAAGCAACAGCGTACAAGGAACTGGTTAAAACACGCAGCAGATATTGTAGTACTTTCAGACGCCAGACTTGCTAACGATCATCCATACTGGGAATCTTTGAGACAGCCGCAGATCCTGGTGGCCTCGCCTACTGCCAAGGCTGGTGGGGTTGCCTTGGTCTGCCGGAGACATGGGCTGTCGCTGCATAACACACTTATTCACCCGGCAGGGAGACTGATTGTCGCCGACATCCGCTGTGACACCTTTCTCATCACCGCGGTTGCAGTATACTTCCCAGCGGATGCTGTGGAGCGCAAGAACTTCATTCGCAGGGTGCTGGGTCCGGTGGTCGACTCGCTACAGCCCAGTAGTCACCTGCTAATGCTAGGGGATTTCAATCTGGTGGAAGACCCTCTGCTTGACAGAACATCAAAAAAGGGTACGACGAAGGAAAATGAAGAGCTTTACCGGCGGTGCGGGGTCTTCGGTTTGTCGGACGCATTTCGGGTTCTGCACCCCTACAAAAGGGAGTTTACTTTCTACTCCTGTGCCAACCAGTCAAGCTCTCGCAGCGACCGGGCGCTCATCTCACAGTCGCTGTTGCCACATGTGGAGTTCGCCTCGCACATCATGCCGGTGGATCCCATTTCTGACCACTCCTTTGCGGTGAAGGCGGCGTTCAGGCTGATCACGCGGGTTCAGTCGGGCCCTGGTCTCTGGCGGCTTCGTGCATACATGGTGGAGAGACCAGGGGTCGAGAAGGTTATTAAGGCGGTGGAACGGCGGGCGGCTGCCTGCGGTGACGATTTCGAGCTGTCAGTATCGCGACTCAACGCTGGTCTCAGAGCGTACGCGAGAGAGGAAAGGAAAAGGATCAGGGCTACTATGACTCACCTTCAGCATGAGGTCACGGCTCTGAAACAGGCGTGGTTGGGTGACCCGGGTTGCGCCCGCTTGAAAGAGCTGCTGGCCGAAAGGGAGTCACAGCTTAAAGGATACCAGCTGGTGCGGCAGGAGAGGTTGCACGTGATGGCGGGAATGAAGGAGGAAGTGGCCGGTGAGGTCGCGTCTCCTTTCCTGTCTGCAAAGATTAAGGCACGGAAGGAGCGCACACAGATCTCGGAGTTAGACGTCGGGGGGAAGCTGGTCGCGGACAACAAAGAAATTCTGAGCGCAGCGGCGCAGTACTACAGGGATCTTTTTGGGGAGGACAGGCGGCGAACGGAGTCCGCTTGGTTTCCAGCCGAGGGTAGGAAGCTGTCGCAAGCATCAATAGAAGTTGTGTCTGCCGATTGGACGGAGAAGGAGGTGAAGCGTGCTTTCCGCTCGATGGCGAAGGGCAAGGCCCCGGGGAAGGATGGGTTGCCGAAAGAGCTTTTCGAAGCTCACTGGGACGTTTTGGGCAAGCACTTCATGCAGCTGGTGAAGGGTTTCGCCACGTCGGCTTTGCTCCCAACCAGCACCAAGGATGCCGTCACCATCCTGTTGCACAAGAAGGGGGGGCACAATCAGTTAGAAAACTATCGGCCGATTACGTTGCTAAGCTTTACCTACAAGGTTCTGGCGCGGGTGGTTGCGGACAGAATGAAAAAGGTGCTGCATGAAGTGATTTCTCCAGAGAAATACGGCTTCTTACCGGGGCGAAGGCTGTCGGACGCTGTGGGTCTGGTTGCGAATGTCATTGAGGCAGCTAAAAACGAGGACAAGGACTGGTACCTTCTACTGGTGGACTTCAGGAAGGCCTTCGACTCGGTCTCGAGGGGTTTTCTCTTCACGGTGCTGGAGAGAATGGGTTTCCCCAGCAGATTCATAAGCTGGGTGCGCGGCCTGCATAAGGACACACGAACAAGTCTGTTAAAAAACGGCTGGTTGGGCGAGGCGGTGGATGTGGTATCGGGGGTGCGCCAGGGCTGCCCGCTGGCGCCGTACCTTTTCCTCTGCGCGGTCGAGCCGTTGGCGCAAGAAGCTGCGAACCGGAAGCTGGGTCTCACCGGGGGGGATCAGCGGCTGGCGTATATGGGGTACGCGGACAACACGACTCTGTTCCTGCAAGGGGAGGAGCAGATTGCGGAGGCGGAGAAGCTGTTAGAGGCGTTTGAAGCTGACTCTGGCCTGGCTACGAATAAAGGGAAGTCATCAATCTTACCGCTGGGGAAGAACCTGGACAAGCAGCCCTGCAGAACCGACGGATTCAAATGGGTGAAGTCGGGCGAAGCGGAGCGGCTGCTGGGGGTGTGGGTAACGCCGGACGGGTGTTGCGCTCCCACCTGGGAAAAAGCTTTCGCACGGATAAAAGAAAAACTGAGGCAATGGGAGGCGCAACATCTCACAACAGGGGCAAGGGCAGCGTTTATCAACTGCTACATCTCCCCGATTATTTTCTTCCAGACGCAAGAGTACCCGCCACCAACGGACATCTGGGGGAGGATTCTGAAGCTGACGCATAATTTTATGTCGGGAAATCGGGCCACGACAGACAAGAGGTTTATTCTGTGGAGTCGTGAGCTGCTGTACATGGCGAGAGAGGACGGGGGCGTGGGGGTGAGAGACCCGGGTATTGCGCTCACCTGTCTCACGGCAAGGAGGGTCGGACTGCTTCTCACCGAGACCAACGAGCTGAAAAAGGAAATAATGATGCAAGCAGCGGATCTGCCGCTGGGGCGGACACCTTTGTGGCCCACGTGAAGCTCATGAAGTGCTGGCGCGGGAAAAGTGAGAGGTGGAAGCTGGCCTGCGGCTATTTCATGCAGTCACCGCTTGCGGAAACGCCGCCGGAACGGACGAGGGAAGAAGCGGAGTTGGAGAGGCTTGTTTTCAACCGCCACATCCTGCTGAACGGCAAGACGCCGGTGGGCGGGCAGAAAGCTGCGGGGAAGCTGTGGGACGTTCGTTTGAGGGACCTGCTAGCCCCGCACGGCGCGGGAGAGCGAAGGGTAAAGGACGTAAAGACTTTGACGAGGGAGCTAGGCGGCTCGAAGCAGGCGAAATTGGCAATTCGGGCCTGGGAAGCTGTGCCGCAGAGCTGGAAAGGGTTGCTTCTGTCTGCCGAGCTTCTGCAGCCCCCCCCCCGCCACCACCACGCTCACTCCCTCTGAGGACCCCGCTGTTCAGCAACGGGCAGCTGGCGTCGTTGAGGGAGTTGAAGGGGAGCTGGGATCGTGACAAGCATCAGTCTGCCAAAAGGGACCTCTGGGCAGACAGATGGGCAGGGGAAATCGACTGGAAGAAGGTGATCAAGATCCGTGATTCTCTGGTGACGCCCAACAGGCCACCGGACGTGCTGCTGAGAATCTACAGTCTCAACCTGCAGGTGGGGGAGAGACTCTCTTTCCTAAGCGGCAAGCCAGTCTGCCCGCACTGTGGGGAGCTTGAAACCCTGGAGCACTGCCTCTTCACCTGCCCGCGCATTCAGCTCGTGGTGTCGGCTGTAAAGCGCGCCATGCGCATGCTGAATCCATCGAGGCAAGTGGCGAACTTGGGTGACCTGCTGTTCGGGAAGGCAGCGTCCACCTCAGCTTTCCTGGAGGCATCTTTCTGTTGAGTGATGCTACCATTCGCATTCACGTCTGTCTGCCTCCCATCATATGTTCGTGCGTTGCATGCGTGTTGTGAGTGTGTGCAAGAATTTGTGTTTTGTGCGGTTTGGTTTTTCTGAGTGTGTGTGTGAATGTTATTTGGCTTGAGCAGATATCTGAAGTGAGTCCTCTGCTCAAGAGCTTTCCGAGGAACCAAGTATCGCTTCAATCGGAGCACGAACAAGAAAGTTACGAACGTTGGAGTTCGTATGCTTTTGATATTTGGTTGTGGTGACTATGGGAAGTTGTGGGGTTGACTCAATATGGGGTACAGACTTTTGGGGGTTGGGAAATTCGTCTTTTCTACTGTAGTTGCTGCCAAATGGTTGGGAGAAACCAAACCAGGTTGGCAAGTGTGGCCAAGTTGGGTTGAGGTGGATTGTGGAGGTTGGGATAGTGACAAAGGTCAAAGTTGGGTTGCCTATGGGGAAGGGAATTGTATGGCATGGGGTTTCCTTGGTTGGGGACTCTCTTGGGACCTTCCCTCTCGTCCTCCTCATCCCCTCCTACCTGGTTCTATTGCTACTCTAACTTTCTTGTGTGAACTTGTGAGATCATTGTGATTGAGTTACGTTTTCTATGGCAGCATACCCCCTAGTGCGCCGAAGTTCATAACTCGAGTTATACTCCATATTCTGATACTATTCAAATTGGGAAAGATAGCCACGGTCAAGGGCTATAACATACTCGAGTTTGAAAGAATTCTAACAGTGGACCTTTCGTCGACGACGTTTCTTGTGACGACGACTTTTCTGTCCAGAATTGTAGTTGACGATTTTGAGATATTTCAGCCCCTAATCTTCATAGACTCCGTCCTTAATCTATAACATGTGGTATCAGAGCTGATTAAGGACCCTATGAGGAGTCTACTGAAGTGTGAAGACCCTCTTAGACCCACCATGGCCTGTGGGCGTGCCTAAGTGGAGTTCTGGAGGTTGGATGTGACTTCCGCTAAGGGGAAACTCTGCCGAAATTTCGTTGGCGCCGACACTTGTGAAGATTGTGTGGATCTACATTGTGACCAGCAAAAGGGGGAGCTGAAACCTCTGATTGGGAGCAGAGGAGATGAATCAAGGGAGTGGAGATGCAGCTGAGAAGAGGAGTGAACCGCCACCATCCAAGATCGAAGCTTTGGATGGCTCCAACTATGAGGAATGGAGCGGGCGGATGCGGAGCGCCTTCAAGCGCTACAAGCTGCTGAAAATTGCAATGGGAGAGGAGAAGATGCCGGGGGAAGGAGATGCCCGCGATCGGTGGATTGAGAA